GATATTTAAACTTAAAACTATTTGTGAAGAATGAACTATAGAGCTTTTAAAACTGCTTAAGCCGCTCCTAATCTTTACTAAATTATACATCGGACGCATTTCCCTCCCAATATGGCGGACATGTTGACGTTGGATTTCCGGGTGTTTCGTTTCCCGGAGGCTAACATGAACCCCAGTGCGCAGAATCGTGACTGTGTTCAGTTAGCAGAGCTAGTTGGAGCGCCGTCCTTCGTGTTTTCTCGGGTTTTTGTCCACGGAGCAGCGGCGGGAGAGTTAATAAAGCTGTAAGACAGAAACGACAGCAGTTGGTGAACTCTGGAAAGAAGAGAAACGGTTTGAGGCTCAGCTGGAACTGCTCAGTAACTGTTAAAGGAAAGTTTGGAGAGAGAAAAGCTAGCAGAGATGTGGAGACAGCAGGTCAAACAGCGACTGGATGCAGCAGAGGAGCAGAGACACGAAATACTGGATGCTGCTTTCAGCCCCGAACATCCCGGTTGGTGTCTTTTCTTTCCCATTATCAGCAGTGGACTGGGTGAACTGGTCTAGTCTGGGACCGTGTCTGCAAAGCTCGGAGGTCTCATGCTGCTGTTCAGCAGCTGCTAGCTGCGGACAGCAGGCTAGAGCCGCACGAGCGTCCGAGCAGCAGGTCAACGTTGCCGCCATGTTGTGAGTGGCATTTCTGTTTACGTGAACACATCAGCCTGACCACTGGGGGCGCCGTTGTTCACGGTAATCCAACAAGGCACTTTGGCCGCTTTATTTAAACACAATAACTCCAAAACTCTGCAGTAAATTGGTCTCCAAATTAAAACTTAAAATCTGTTTAGGTCTTTTGACACTTAAATGTGATATTACTGTCTTATTTAAATTTGCTGATTAGTTTTGAATCTTAGGATTTATAAAAATTGCATAAATACCCCATGTCTGATATGTTTGTATTTTTTTAAAGTAAAGTTTTAACCTACTTAAAACGCATTCCAGTATTTTAAAGGGGCATTTTGTAAAATCCACTTTTTTTGAGCTGTTCTGTTATTCTCTCATTAAAGACAAACATGGAGTTTTACGTCGATTCTTTCATGTTTGAGAACTCCTTTAATCTCCATGGCAACCATTCAGTTAAGCATGCTGTGTTTAGAGATGGGCTCCATGATCCCTAGTTTGTTTCTTTCTGTTTCTCCTTTAAGTTCTTGCAAAGATTTTTAATCAAACATTTATGACCATTTAAAGAAGAACTAAATGTAGCAGTCAGCGTGCTTGGCTGCAGCTGACTCAACTCGGGCCTCTAACTGGTTGCACTGGGACCACTAACTTTTTTTTTAGGTGCACAAAATTTTTCAACCGAATCATATTTAACGTGAAAGTTTTACTGGAACATTGTGTTTAAATCTGTGTCCATAAAGGCAAGATTGCTGTAATGATTAACAAGGTTATTGATCTGAAGCAGACAGGATGGGTATACACTTAGAAACATCTCAAGATGAAACGAATGAAATATGACAAAATCTACATTATACATGCAAATCTTTTCAGAACTGAAATCTTATTAAAATCTCAAGGTGAATCTTTTCTGACGTTCTTGTTGGGGATTGTTTCAGGCTTGTTCTTGTGCAGCGTTAC